AATTAGTATTTAAGTGCCAGCAAAAGCTTCAGTTTGTTGCCTCTTTGTAAATCTCTTCTTAAGCTACTAATCTTCCTATCATCTCTTAATGCATGTTTCTCTATGGGCATCATAAAACTGCACACTGGTGAGCATGTTGTGGTCTTTCTATGCAAGGAAAGATTTTAAAATAGCATCCTTAAATATTTAAGAACAAATGCCTTCATCTTGAGCATGAAATTCTAAAAAGACTACAGCACTGTCATTTCATTTGTCTACACTTCTCTTCCTATGCTTACTGCCCCAGAAAAATGCATTGCATTATAAAGAAAATTTCTATTTGGCAGTAGGTTTCTTTTTGAAAACTGTATAATGTTACATATTAACTATTCGCTACAATATCCAAAGGATCTGATTCTTTCCTATTTTTCTTTATTGGAGTACAGTTAAGCAAATAAATAGCTGAATAATAAGTAAAATTGGTACCAGGAGGTTGGATACCAGAATTTAGAAAGATTGATAATAGGAATAATACAAATGACAAATATCACTTTGTATCATTGATGCTCATAAACAGCAGCCTGTGTTACTGAAAACCTACAGAAAAGCTATGATTAACTACTCATAAGAAGCCTAAATATTCAAGTAACACTTTAATTGGACAAGAGGGAACACTATACTGGTATTCATAAATTAAACTCTAACGTCATTTTCCTAAACGCTTAGTAAAACACTCTTGTCCGTGTATCTTTTTGTGCAACTGCAATCAGATGTTTACATAATAGTATGTTATGTAAAATATAAATGTAACTATTTGTTTAGTAGTTCTTAATCCTCAGAACTTAGTTTTGTATTTGTAACTAAAAATGATGCATTTACTAATCAGTGTTTCATTAATTGAATATATGCATGCAGGAAAAACACTACTGCAGAAAATCACTGTATTTAGACTTTAAATATTACTTCAAAATACTTCAAAATACTTCATAATTACTTCAAAATTAATTATGTTGTAAGAAAAAATTCTTTTGTCTTTTAGAGCAGGAAGATGAGAATATAAGAAAAAGCTCTATTTTATTTTCCTTAAATGTGACTTGTTCTCACCGAGCTACAGTATATTTTGCTAGATCTTGTGACAGTATGATATTACAAGTAAAAGTTCACAATCACATTTATATCCAAATTTAAAGTTGCAACTATGAGAGGTACACTACTTATTATAACTATATAGATGTATATATTTATACAGACCCACAGGTTTATATGTGTTTACACTGACATGTCCAGATTTCAAAGTAGTGTAAAACTGTCATGCTTCCGTTGGCTACAACAAGGCACTGCTGATATAAATTCCTTCTAAGTATTAATTCAGGAATGCTCTTTGCACTCCTTGAGTTGGAGTTATAAGAACATTTTTTGTTTCGAGAAGGGTAGCAGGACTGTCAGGAGAGCTGGGGAAAGCATCATAAAAACTTGATTATAGGACCTTGGCAACATCTGCCAGGTAAAGAAAATATAAATTTCAATCATGGGGTTATTTTTGCATATAAAAGCACTGCAAATCTACTACCTTTCTCTAAACTTTAGATGTTGGTTGAGAGACTTTGTGCTCCAAGTGCTCAATAATACTGGGGTCATCACTGATGTGTTTTTAAGTGCCATCAAGAGTTACCCACTGGCAGCTTCTCCACTGAACACTGCAGCACACACACTTCTCCAGAATTTCTCTTCTAGCACATACATAGCTCATAAATTGTGTATATTGTACAAGGTAAAAAAGAACAAAACCTCCCAGTTTCCTCCCTTCAGCTGGAAGGATGAGGGGTCAGGTAAAGGGCATCCTCTTTTGAGCTCTGTTTTAGTCCCAGGATTGAAATTGCAAGACAAACTGGAAAATACTGTTTCTATTTAAGCAAACGTATTAAGTACAGTACTGCCATTTGCCCTATCACTATAGTAACATCAGAGGTAGCTATAACAGTTTAAGCAGAATATATGAGAGCAAATGAAAAAGTAAATCATTTAGAGGTAAGTGAAGTAATCCTGTAGTAGAGCAGCCTGCCAAGGTAGTGGTTAATATTGGGCTTTAGAGGGACTCCTCTGTTTTCCCCAGATTTTCAAGAACTAGCATAGTTTATTATTGTTGCTGTTCTCCACTTGTTATTTCTTTCCTTGTTTGTTTACCAAGGCCTGTCAGCAGTAAGCCAGCATTTGAAGAGTAGATGCAGTGTCTCCTTTAAGGTTTTGATGCCTTCTAGCTCTTTCTCTGCATAGCACAGCAGTTTCTGCTTGAGGGATTAAATGTCAAACTAAAAAAATAACAGAAAAATAAGGAAAGTACACCTACACACATATGCTTGTTTTTCTCTGCACTCACTCCTATTAACCCATCTTAATTAATGAAGGAACCCTAAAACCCCAAGTACAGGGAAACACAGAATACTGCAAAGAACTGTAGCCTGAATTGCTTGGTACTGTGCAAGTGCTTACTTATGCATGGGCAGTCAATAACCATGCACTCCTGTCGGGCCTGACAGTCTCTCACTGAGAGAAATATTTTCCCAAATAGCAGCTACCTTTTTTGATCAGGTGTTTGTTAGACACTATAAGAAAATATCTGCTAAGTTAATCAATGAAGTGGGTTTGGTTTTAGGGGTTTTTATCCCTTGGGTAAAGCCAAAAGGGACACTCATTATGTCACTGGCATATATAAGTACCTTTGATAACACAGCCTGGATTATACTGGCTTTACTACAGACTGTGCATGATCCTGTTTTCTCACACGTTCTCCACTGTAGAGAACTTACTTGAATGCAGTAAAATCAGTAGCTCCCAATCTAAACATAGCAGGTATAAGGCTCAAATATCAGAATTTTTCATAAACTTATATTAAGTAATTTCTAAAGGAATCAGAAGCTCTTAGTTCCTGAATATGTTCCAGAACTCCAACAAAAATTTTGTTTCCATGCTTTTGCATGACGACACTGTTTGGGCACACATTCTACAAAAAATCATGGAAACTACTGGAGTAAATAGAGCTTACACTTTACAAGGGTTTTACAGCCTTGAAAGTCTTTGCTTGTTCAAGCTCACAATTTTAGTAGCTGCTCAAAAACAATTTGAATTGCCTCTGCAGGTGTAATTTTGTTTCATTTTATTGTTCTCCATGTCTTAAACTAGATTCCCTTTGCCACAAAAATTAAGATGAAGAGAGCACCAGTATAATTTAGCACTGAAGTCTGGATATAGCTTTCTAGCAAACCTTAGGGCGTTTCTCTTTTTACAGTCAGAGAGAGAGAGGTTGGAAGGGACCAAAGTGGGTCATCTGGTCCAACCTCCCTGCTCAAATTTCTCCTAGAATACATTGCACAGGATTACATCCAGAGGGTTGTGGAATATCTCCAGTGAGGGAGACCACAACCTCTCTGGGTCATCTGTTCTAGTGCATGGTAACTGCACAGTAAAGTTCTTCTTCACATTCAGGTGGCCTATGTGTGCATCAGTTCCTGCCTGTTGCCTCTTCTTCTATTGCTTGGCACCGTGGAGAAGTCTGGCTCCATCTTGACACCCTCCTTTCACATACTTAGAAACATTGACAGGGTCCTCTATCAGCCATCCCTTCTCAAGGCTGAAAAGGCTCAGCTCCCTCAGCCCATCAAGTCATCTACAGTGTGACACACTGTTTTCCTTGCAAAACTTAAGAACAACACATTTTTGATTTTTCTGTTAACTCTGCGGTAGAAGGTCACTGTCATCTTTAATGACTTCTTTAGAAGAGTCACTTCTGAAGAGTGACTTGTGAAGTCTGTGCTCTTTTCTTACCTCAGTCCACAGAGATATTGCACCTCTTCTGAGGTGAGGAACTCTGCAACTCGTTCTGCACTAAGCTGCCAGTAAAGCATCAATATCAAAGCTTGCCAGTTTGAATAATCACCTTCTCTGGTGACACTGAGTACAATTTTATAATGTAAATAGTAATTGATTCCAACTATGTCCAAACCGAAATTACTTCAGTGGCATCCATTAGCATCTGTACTATGAAATTCAGCAGTCAATACTATATTATTCGGAAAGAATAATGCACAACATTAAATTACAATTTAAAAAGAGTTTAAAAATTACTTCTTGTATCTATCAGTTTTAATTCCATCACTTGAATCTTTTCAATCCTCTAATTATATCACTTCCTGTCATTCTTATGCCATTTCTATACATCCCATTAAACAGATACCTACTCCCACACAAACTTTAAATGCAGAGCAGTGTTAGTCTGCTTTGCAAGCAAACGTGATTTTTTTTTTTTGCCTTTCTTTCTCAATCATGGTTGCTGTAAAAAAGAACAGTTCGGGAATTTCCAGAATTCTCCCATCCCAGTAAAGGATGTGCAATGTCTTAACTGCCCTGTGCCATGCTTGCTGTGAGCCCCATTCACCTGAACTAACCGGGCACTTTTCAGTGCCACCCTGAGCAAGCCTCTCTTCCCTCTGGTGTGTGTGCAGGGGAGCCGATGGAGAACGGTTCCCACGCGGTGCAGCTTTAAGGGCAAACCCATAACCCACATGTGAGCTGTGCAGAGCCAGTTCCCCACGCCTGAGTCACACACTGCACTTGCTCGCTGGGCTTTTAGATTTGTACTTTTCTGTCTTTGTTGTTTCCATTAGTCTAAAGTAAAAGTCATTCAGGCTGAAAGGACATGTTTGTTCTCTGCTGATGAAAACTGTAATGTCCCTTTGCAAAGAATTGAATCAACCAGTTTGTGCTGAATCACAAGCAAAATACTGTTCTCATGCACCTTGGAAACAGTGTGTCCTGGACACTTCTAGGCAACTATTGCAAAGGTGTGAGATACGGCAAAACTGCAAAACTACCGAATTAATTAATTAAGAGCAATAATTGCTTACTAGGAGGAACCTCATTGCACACATGTACTGCAAAAATAAACAAAAATATTCTGATATAGTGTTTTTTCAAATAAAAAAATGTGCTCAGTTCCTTTTATTGTTATTATTTTGTTGTTACAGACTCAGATTAGCCCCAAGGAAGGGTGGCAAGTTTATAGTTCAGCCCAGGATCCTGATGGCCGTTGCATTTGCACTGTTGTTGCACCTGAACAAAACCTATGTTCAAGAGATGCCAAAAGCAGGCAACTCAGACAACTGCTAGAGAAGGTAAGTCTTCAAAAAAAAACTCCTCCTCTTGATTATTAAACTTCCCACATAAATCTACTACTTTCCCTCTAAATTTAATACATAACGAACTACTGAAGAGTTATTTAATAAAAATATTTCTTCAGAGTATATTCCCTACCAGCGTTCTCACCCGATCATTATTTGTTTGTTTTCCTTATGTCACATCTTTCCCAACCCAAGTTGCATCTTCTCTCTTGCTTACTCCTCCCACATTGTTCCTTACACACCAGGGCAGATTTTTCTGTGTAAAAGCAGTTACAAATCCCACCTCAAACTAGCTCGCTGCTGTGGGATTTAAACTACAGCTTCAGCTTCAATCATATGAGACTGCTGAAGGTCATTTCTTGTCTCTTACCAACAAATAATGAGATATAGACATGGCAGCATCTTGAAAGCAGACTGTGCAGACAAGACAGTTCTAATTTTTTCATTTGCTTTTTCCTCAGATAATAGTATTTATTCATTCTCTGGTGGTGCAAATTTCCCCCAACAACCCAATTCTCAATTCCAGTATTATCTACTATTGCATGTATAGTAAAATCAATGAAGTATTTTGCATCAACAGAAAAAATTGTGCAACCATGAAAAGACAAATGAGTCTTCTGCATTCCCTATATGTAACCCAGGTGATAGTTATTGTATCACAGCTAGCAGTACAGAACCTGAGGCTTGAGAGTGTGCTTGAACAGCAGCAGAAAACAACATAAAATGTAGACTTAAACATATATTTTTAGGATACAATTTTCAGTATTTTTCTAGCTATAGAAAAATTATTCCAGTGCTAATATATTGCCAGATGCCCACAGATTTTTGCTCCCTGCCCTCCCATGAACTTCAGAAGGCACTTAGTTACAAGTTGTGACAGAGCCCTTAGCATGAGTTGCATGGAGAGAACATTCATGAACCAGCACAAGAGGAGTTACCTCCTGTCATACTGTCTGTTTACTCAAGAAAGGAAGACTTCAGTCTTTGCTCCAGTATATTTCCCAAATACTAAAATATTAACATTAAAAAAATTATTTTGAGGTGGGGGCTGGAAAGATGCATTAACATCACAACACAGTTTTTGAGCTGCCACAGAAAAGAACCTAAATCATTAGTCTCTAAAACCTGTTTTCTTATGATTGGAACTGTGGCAGACATGGATTTGTAATGGCATATTATTACTTCACTAAGTCCATGCAGTCCTTTAATTAGAGGCTCTATGTGAATGCTTCTTCCACCAAATGCAAATGCTCAAAGCTCTTCCAGTAGCCAAAGGACTTTATTTGCCTGCTTTGAACAATTAGAATGCAAAGAAACAAGAAACATTGCTTTTTTCATTAAAAATCCTAAGAACTGCTAAGAGTGACTGTGTAATAACTAATGTATACTATTTTTAAGAGTATTTTCTGAATCCACACATTCTGTAGATCATGTGTTAGTTTCAGACATGAATATCCATTCAAACATCACATATTCTTGCAAACAACAGGAATACTGCTGGGGTTATTAGGAAGGTAGATTTTTTGTTTGTTTGAGCCAGATCTTCAACATGGTGCCTAATACATTTACAGCAGTCTAGTTTTTTCATGTTTTGGGAAAACAGTTATTGAAATACAGTAACTGCACTTGGAAAATGTATCATTTTTATGGCTGGCAAAAGCATTGCTTTCATAACTGAAACTTTTAGAAGTATGTATAATTTACTCTAGATGACAGTTACTGTTGTCTCACTGTGGTAAAAGTGCTCACAATATCTACTAAGTCATTTGCTCTACAAAAGTTACCTGAACATTCTCTACTTTTCATCTGAAAAAATTGTGGGTTCCTACTGCTGAAACAATTGGATAAAATTTCTGATTTTACATTTATTTACAGAATTATGAGCAAACACCTATTTGATGATTGACACACCCCAGCTTATCTCTGGATAATCTTATGAATTCCTTATATTGAATTATTATATAATTGCCTACTAGCAATGAAAAGCATGCTCTTCGTACTAACCAAAATCTCCAAATTTCAGTCCTGTCCTCCCAAATTGGGAGGAAACAAATGCTGTACAGCACTTTCTGAACAACAGTGACCTGGACAGGTGTCAAAGGAGACTCTATTGCCTGACAGCTTTTTTTGAGCCCATTGATAATGGTGCTTAAAGGGTCTCACTCTCTTTACCTCACAGAACTAGTCCAATTAATTTATGGCTTCAAGGTCTTGCCCTGTTCCCCCATATTTGTACTGTCATGCAGTTATGGAATGTGGAACTATACTGTGGTATGAGTGACTCACAACTAAAGCACTGACATAAGCACGTTTTATTGCCTGACATTTAACCGGGGAAAAAAGTAAAGCAACAAAAAGTGCATTTAGAGAGTGTTCTTCTTTAACAGGTTCAGAATATGTCCCAGTCTATTGAAGTTTTAAATCTACGGACTCAGAGGGATTTCCAGTATGTTTTAAAAATGGAAACACAAATGAAAGGGCTGAAGGCCAAGTTTCGGCAAATTGAAGATGATCGGAAGACATTAATGACAAAGCATTTTCAAGTAGGTTTGATTTTAACAATAACTTTGAAGCCTGCTGGAAGCAATGTACTAAGTAGCAATGCATGGACTGCTAAGGTCTCAGCTTGAAATGCTTATACAAGAGCATCATTAAAAGGAAAAGCATAATAAATCTTCCTTTATGATGATAATCTTTTGCTCTGATCAATTTAATTGTAATAGGGAGGAACTATTAATTATTAAGTCATTAGAGAAATGTCACTTTAAACAGATTCCTGTTTTTTTGTGTATCAATGTGCATGTCATACTGAGACATTTATATTCATTCAAGCTCCAGTGATAAATGGGGAGATCCAATGGAATTAATAGCAAACAACAAGAGTTCTGCGCTTTTAGTGTTGCTTGACATTTACTGCAGTTGAAGGGAAGAAAGCCTATAATAAATCAGGTTATTGTAATTTTTATCCAGTATAATTAAGATCTAATTTCATCTCTGAAGGTTTGCTGTTTTGAATTTGGGATGGGGAGGAGGGCAGTCATTCCCAGTCACATTTGTGATTAAAAAAAGACTTCCAGAGAATTTTACTGACAACAGAAACCATAAGCTAATCCTTTTGTGAGAAAGAAGGGTTGCAGAGATTACAGAATAGCATTGTGTATTCTGAAAAAGCTACCTGAAGTACTCTTAAAGGAAAAAACATGACAAGAGCATATTTAAGGTCTTTAAATATCAACTCCAATAAATTGACATTTCAAGACTGCAAGACAGCAAAACAGGTTCTTGAAAATACATTCTGAAAATACATTCAGGTTCTTGAAAATACATTTAACATTATATTATGTTAAATATATATTTTTGAAGTGTTAATAAAAGTTCATATAAAATGAACCTGATTTTCTAATTGGTGCTAGAGTTATATACCTATATAATTACATAGCCAAGGGGTCTAGTTTATTTTTCAGAGACACTGAATATGCAGTGGGTCTTAATAATGTCAGGAATTAAGTATACTAATGATCTGACTACCAAACTTTATTGATTATGTCATTGGTCTTAGTTTAGAGTTTGAGCATATGCTTCCCTTTATTTTCAGGTAGGAAGAAATATCTTCACCTTTTTTGCCTTTCACCCCTCATTGCCACAATAACAACACACTTGTATAATGCCATTAAATATTCTGTATTCTCATTATAGTTTCCCTTGGGAACAAAATATCAAAATTTGAATGTCTGATACACAATGTCAAAGGTAGCAGATTACTTCAGCACTCTAACCTTTTAAATTTTCGATATTTGTATTGGCCAGTCATTTAACTTCAGTTTGACAGTTTGCCTGGAGTATAAAAGAGTTCCAGCCAGTCAAGTTATAGAATATTTTAAAAGGTCAACATAATACAATATGCTGCTGGCTTTCTGAAATTTGATCTACTAAAATTCCAGTGCTTTATCTTTCCCAAGACAAAGAAATTCATTCTGGATGTAGCATAACCTCTCATATCAGCAGGCTCGAAGTGCCAGAATACATTTACCACCTATTGTTGTTGCAATACAAATTAGTTCTTGTACCACTCATGTAGCAACAAGCTAGGAGTGTCAGGAGAAAATAATAATTTTTTATTTTATCTTGACAATGCCAAAACCAACTTTATATCATTTACTGAAATGAGATCTTCTAAAGCTGTGTTTTCATATTGATCAGAACCAAAGAGTACAAATTTGATCCAGATCACACTTGAGCATATAGTCAAAGTTCAGTCAAATCTGCATTTCTGCCAGGCAGGAGGTACCTGTTCTCCACAAAAAGTTACAGCAGGTTTGCTCAAATGATTCCTCTTCTGGCATAAATCCTACCAGGAACTCATTACCTTCACTAATTCTCTTAAAGACATTTTATCTTCCTGAGTTTTCACAAGCTTTGATTTTTTTTCATTATGGTTTACCCATGATTTTTGGCCATTCACTCCCCCACAGAACCAAAGCCTAAATTCATGATTTCAAAATGAAGTAGCAAGAACTTTGGTTTCTGGAGCTCTGTTTTCACTCTCACAAAGCTTACTCCCCTTGTCATCGAGGAAAAAAAAAGCTATTCATTTTAACAGGCATAAAGTAGGTTCAGGTTAAGCTTTTAATAAAGACAGACAAATAAAAAAAATTTGAACTGTAAACAAAAAGACTTCTCACTTCTTCCTTTCCATTTCAGTAATTCTGCTACCATAACCTTGAGAACAGAGCCAATAGAACTAATACTCTCAAATCCCTGTATAATGACATACCTACTGATAATTTAAAATGCAATTTTTCAGCTATTGAGATGACCTGCCTGTGTGCAAGATGTACTTGTAACAACACATGAAAGTTTTTATTTTGAGGTAATAGTAATTCCAATATGAAAAAATTGTTAAGACAATATGCATATATTAGCTGGGTGATGAGATACTGCAGAACTCTCAAGCTCTGTTTGAACACATTTGAGAGGCAAAAATTCAGAGATAGATCTTCAAGCAGCCCAAATGCTGACCCTGCCTACCAGCTTCTTTCATATCTCCTTAGCAAAAATGCATCTGGCATCATCATGTAATTTATTTTGGAAATGTCCTACCCTGTTTATTGCATCTTCTGAGACAAATGGTGTAACAAATATGTGCGTGTTTCTGCACACCTCAGTGACCACAGCAACCTCTGACACATTTGCTGCTCAGACTCTTTCTGGTGCCTGGCCTTCCATTTAGTTCTCTTCTGCTTTCCCCTTTAACCTGCTGAATACTCCAGCTATTGATTTTTTAACCCTTTCAATAACCCCTGTATCCTAAACTGTTCCCAATCTCTATTGCCGCCTAATGCTAATATCTAACAAAGCTTTATTTCCATCTTTGCCTTGTTTTGTCCACCTTGGCATCTCCTCATGTCTCTCTGGCATTTGCTTATGCAAGTCCTGCTGTTCCCATATATTATAAAAAGATTTCCAAATTTCTTCATACAGATGATATATCAGGGACCAACCTGTCTACTTTTCAATAAAGCAAGACCTTCTGACTGCTGGTTCTTTGAGATTTTCTACGGAATAATAACAAAACAAAAAACCACCTCAAACAATTAGGTTAAATTTAATAAAGCATGTATTATTAGTGCATTTAAAAGAATAATTAAGAAATGAAAAATGGGCAGCCGGTATAGGTTACAAACTAGGACAAATTCTCAAAGTATGAGACACGGCAAAACACCTGAGGAAGTGGCAATCTGAAATTCCAAAGTGGAGCCTTATATTATTTAATCAATGTTTAAGAATAAGATTGGCCATGCAACAACTGCATATGGCAAAAAAAATTTATGATATTCCAGAAAAGAGAGAACTGAGGAAGTTTGAAGGCACCTAGTGATGTAGCAGGCTGACTAATACAAATCACAGTTAAGAACCATGGATTTTTAAGTAAAAAGGAAGAGGCATATATCACTGTGGCTGGAACAGAACTGAACAGTGCTCAACACACATTGAGAAAAAGATTAATTTAGTATTTCTAAAGAATTAAATAGAAATTAACAACTTATCCTATGTATGACAGCACTGTAAACCAGGTATGACCTTGAACACTACTGTGCATTCAGGCCTAACCATCTTCTGAAGAAAGACACACTTAGTGGGGGTTTATATCCTACAGATGGAAAGTCAGACCTTCAACAGGTTTGGTTGAGATCCACTTGAAGGTAATCCTTTCCTTTCAGTAAAAAAACAATTATGTCATGCATTTTATCTGCTGCTTACTATGATTAAGTCTGAGGTTTCTAAGACTTTCAGAATAGACTAATTGTAGATCTGTAACTAAAATAAATAATCATTTTCAAGTCATTTCAGTAATCAGGCATAAATATTACATTAAAGGAAATTACGGGATTGAACTCCTTTAAACTGCTCTAATGGACATATGATTGCTTTTAACAGGAATTGAAAGAAAAGATGGATGAGCTCCTGCCACTGATCCCAGTTCTGGAACAATACAAAACTGATGCCAAATTAATCACCCAGTTCAAGGAGGAAATTAGGAATCTGTCTACTGTGCTCACTGGGATTCAGGAAGAAATTGGTGCTTATGACTATGACGAACTACACCAGCGCGTACTCAGCTTAGAAACCAGGCTTCGAGACTGCATGAAAAAGCTCAGTAAGTTAACAAGTTCGTGGCAAATTTGGTTCCTTGGCTGTGTATTTTTAGTTATCTCTCTTAAGAAAGATGAAGTTTTGGGCGTTTGATGAAAGACTACACATTATATTCTGATCTGTGCTACCCTAATAAAAGTCAAGAGTAACTGAAGCCAAGGTCAGTTACTTTGTGCCGGTGTATCTTAGGTAAAGACCTGCCCTACTGTATACAGAAGGAATTAAGATGGAAAATTATAACAGACAGCAATTTCAAAATCTAAGAGTTTTGCAAACCAGTTGGAGAGCTACAAATATTCTATCAAAAAAGCTCAGACAGGCATTGCTACTAGAGTCACCCTTGGGATGTCAAGTGTAAAAAAAATTTAGTGGGAAGTAGACTGGAATCAGTTTTGAGATGTCCACGTCATAACCCTGTCATTTTGCTATGAAACTTGAGAGGCCACTCTGGCTGTACTGTGTTTAGACCTGTAATATTAGCACTAAGAGAGATGTGCCATTCTCCAATTTGCATTTCAATGTAATTAAGCATTACACCTAATTTAAGGGAACAAAGGATGATTTCTGTAAGAAGCACAGCAACAAACCCAGTGAGCACTGCATTAGGTTTGCATCAGGCAGCCTCCATCTCGGCTGCTCACATGCTGGCTTTAGATAGAAAAAGTCAGACATTGAGCATCTCTGAAAACCAGTGCTAGCTCAATATCAGCCACCAAGACTAAGAGCCTGAAGTATCATTTTCAAGTGTCAGCCTTAACTTCCATTACCCCAGGAGGGATAAGTTGTACCTACCTGCCTTACAAACACAATGCAGTCTCCCCTTTCCCCAGTCTGTCCATCCATTCTGAGACTCCTGAATGGATCACTATTGCAACAATCCAGCCCCTATGAAAAACAAACACTTTGTACATTAACACTGAACATGAATAAACTAGAAATTCCAAGGTTCAGTCCTGTGATCCGTGTCTCAGTTATAAAGTGTGGGATGTTTACTTTTAAGTGCTACACATGACCTTAAATATCTTGTTGACAGATAAGCAGAGCCTCCTTATTTTTGTGATGCAATGGAATGAGAAAAATCTAGGTTAAGTTACCCTCTTAAATTATTTATTTTCAGTTTCTTTATTTTACACTGGAAATAGCACAGTGATGATGCACTAAAATACATGAAAGACCTCTTCAAACACAAATTTCTTATGACGCTATTTTCCCCTCAGTACACACACATAATAGCACATTACTGCATTGACAGAAGACAGTCAGGAGAAAATATCTGTGTTGCAATACCACAGCAAGCAAAACAATTCCTATGAATAGACAGTATTTTCTGATAGTGAGGGTTAGAGTAAGTTATTAGACACCAAAAATCATCAGTTTATCTTTAACGAGTATCTTGTTTTTCTTTGCTTTTACACCATCTTGTAATATTGATTAGTGAAGTGACTACAGTGTGAGATATATTTTAAACAACAGAATTACTAGGTATGTTCTCATCCTATCTATCCTGAATTCTTGCAACATATTCTATTTCTCTTGATGTACCTAATGGAAAAAACTCCTATCAAAATTACGTATATTAACAGTAGAGAGAAAATTTGTGTATAAAATAAATTATTAAGCACATCCATTATCAAAAGGGAGTGGACTTTTTCAAGCTCTAACACAGATTCATTCATCCTTATTGGCATTACTCCCTAGTCTTAGATGCTTAAATGACTTTTATGCTCACCAGCTAATGCAGTGGTTGGTTTTTTCGCCTATCCCTGTGCACCTTTTAAAGTAAAAAGTTAGGCCTGCTGTAACTCCTGAAAGTTCAGATCAGGAAGCATAAGGGGCAAACAGCTTTCGAGCCTACACCTTCTTCCCAGCCACATTCACACGCTGGAGATGATCCAGCTGTGACTGTCCCTGCCAGTCTGACAGCCAGAAGCCTACAGCAGCAGCAGGCTGCCACAGGATCTGGCTGGAATTTTCACAGATTTGGTTGCATTTCACCATATAATTATCTAATCAGCATGTGCAATAGCTATTTTCCATTCTTCTCCCTAGCAGGTGTTTTTCAGCCATATAATGTGTTATTTATGTTGTCCTGGCCACTTACAAGGGATCTTCCATCTGCACTGGCAGCACTTTCAACATCATTAACATATAGTAAGCAGTTGTCTTACTTTCAGTGAGGTTTAGTGATTACCACAACAGTTGTGATGACTGGAATTTGCTTCTTTGTGAAATAAGAGAAAATCCAGGAAGAAGCTGATGAGAAATTTGTTCACAAAGCTTTAAAAGGGTGCACGCAACTAAACATGTAGGAATAAAGTGCATGTGATTGCACACACTCCAAATTCACATACACTTATGTGCATATGGGTCCTTTGCTGGCAGTCCTGTAAGACATGTACATTTAGAAGAGAGTGCAGATTGCACAGTGTGCTTGGAACCCTCCTATTCTTGTCATAATGTGTTTATGAAACGAGGGAAAAAAAATAAGTAAGGCTACCATTTTTCTTAGTGTACCTGAACTTCTTAACATTTGCTAGTATGAAGATACATTTGACCTACCTTCTTACTAGCATCTGGTCCTTCTCCTGTCAGGGAATTAAATTGCTATATTGCTATAAACCAAAACAGAAGAAAAGGATGGCAAGGAGGCTTTAGCCATGTTGGGGAAAAAAAAATGCATAGGCTAGTTTTAACTCTCTGCCACCTCATAACTATGGAAAATTCATAGTCCAGAAGTGATTCCCATTTCACATTCCATTTGTCTATGTTCTAGTTCTCTACATACAAAATGAGCTAAAGAAATGCCACAATTGAAAACTAATTGGAATTTTCATTCATTTCAGACTCCAAGACTTGCCATGCTAGAAAAATGTTAAATAAATGATCCTCCCTTCAGTATATTAGTATTAACATTCCCTAGCAAAAAACCTCAGCATGCAGGATCAATTTTAGTATAGCCACACAAACAATTAACAGGTTCATTCTGCAGCTGAGAATACAGGCTGGGTTTAGATCAACATGTTTTACACTGAAGTAGAGAAGAATAAGCTGTTACCAACTTCAGTGGAGGAGTAAGGGAAATTTCTTGGACTGAACACAAAGTTGAAAGTGCTTAAAACCACAGAGGAAACTCGCCTTGTTTTGTCAGTGAACTGTTAGACATTATATTGAGCTTTACTCTTGAGAGAGTTGTCATTCATTTAATTCCTGTATCAAATCCAAGATCAGGCTTGGGCAAGCTGGAAGAGAATTATCCTTATAAAGTCACTATAAACAATTATTTCATAATTCATAAACTGCATACTGTAGTAATGTATCATCAAAATGCTGTGATACTCATCTGGAATAAATTTCTTCACTATGTTGGTAAGTCAATAACACTTCAGCACAGACAGCACACTTGCTACTTTATAATGAACAAAACATAAATTATTCAAATTCTGCCAATTTTTATAGGTCTGCTGTAACAAATGGGTGGACACATTTGAAGGCAGGGCTCCAAAAGACAGAACTGAAGAAAACAACACCGCCTTTCTCTTGAAGAATGAGAAATTAGATTAACGGTTTTCATAATTGTGTTCACTCGATTCTCTTAACTTCTGATCCAATACTGGAAGCAACACTGCATTAGGGGACTGTCTGACAGTTTGACAGAGTAAAACGTGAACTGAAGGGCAGAGGAATTTCATTGAGAAGGGGAGGAAAATTTGGCCTCAATCGCTTTTTTGAGAGAAATGTGTCATGTTGCTCTGCATCATCTGTCAGTAGTAGGTTCATTGTATTCACAAGACCAGTATTTAAGCAAGCATGTTGATTTGTGGAATACTTGGGACAGTTTACTTCTACAGAATTTACCTGTGCAGCCTTAAACAGTTTAAAACAGCGTGAGCTGATTTGTCAAGGTTGACCATTCAACCGAGACTTGCTTTGGGGCCTTGTCCTGTTCTTTCAAGCAGTACTTTCTGAACTGCAAGGACCTACTGCTTGGTTTGAGTTCTCACTACTCAAGAGAGGTGACATGCATGTACTTGGCCCTGAACATTTTGCAAATTAACAGAAGAGTGAGATTTTGAAACAATCTGCAGCTGGAGTAAGGGTGAGGGTAAACAACTGTAAATAATATTTTCCCGTTTTTAAAAATCATGTCAGTAATTTTATTAAAGGCTGCCTGCAACTAGACTTAAATGACTAGAATTTTGGCAGAGACTTTATATATTAGGCTCCTGTGCTGAAGGATCTTTCAACTGTAAGGAGACTGGGGTGACAAGACAGAGGTGGGCACTGACAGCTCTGCTGCTTCCTTTTTATTGTACATGCTGTGAGCAAGTAGGTCAGCAGATCTCAAGTACTGCTGAGGTTTACAGAAGAAACCTGCTAATGGGATATGAATTATCACTACAATAGGAATAACTTAACCATATATGGAAAATATACTTGCAGTATTTTTTAGACTACTCCTTAGTCTTAAGTACCAGTTCCATCAAATTATAACACAAATAGGCAGATCCGTGGGTTTCTGTTAATTAAGCAAGGAAAAGGAAAGATGGGTCATACTGTAGGGCAGGAGGAAGAAAAATCCTCATGCCTCTTACAAGATGCTCTGTTTTGTTGTGCTGAAAAGAGAAACTGTCACTTTTTCAGTCAGCAGCCCCTCAGCTATACAGCAGCTGTCCTAACAGTCTTCCTTTCTTGATCACTACATGTTATCTGAGAATAAAAAATTGATAACGTAAATACACCCTGATTCAAACTGCTGATCATTTAGTGGCTGAAGTACAATGTCATCTCTTTTTTTCACGCTGAACAGCATCTCAATACATTGTGAAAGACTACTCTCTGAAAGCATCTGACTCCTGTCACAGGGGAAGGCAGCTTGGTTCATTTCAACTGGCAATCAGTGAACTGTACATTCAGGATAAATAGGAGTAATGCAGCAGAGGAACCACAGTACTAGACACTGAAACATATAAATTTCTGAACACCCTTCTCTGGCTAGACTCAAAAACTCCACTGGCATATGGATCACCACGTGCACAAACACCCACGGAGCTGTGTGCACACCCCCCACAGCAGCTGGCATGTTCTACAAACACACCACCTGCTTTTACACCTCTGCTGGAGATGTGGGGCCTCGAGCTCAGTGTGTGCCTGTGCTGCTCCCCACAATCCACAAACACACCCACGCTGGGGAGCAAACCTGTGAGCTCTCACACACCTGCCCTGGCTGAGGGAGCCGACCCACTGCCCCCCATGCTCTGCCTGCACTTGCTGAGCGCTGGCTCTGCCTGGCCCCAGCACCGCTCACCCCGACACAGTTTGCAAATTGAAGGCCCACTGTCAGGCTGCCCTGCCTACCCCAACACAGCATCACCCAGCCCATACACAAACGTGGGCTCTGAGAGCACCCTCACATCACTGCCACGGGCCCCTTCCACAAGTTTTGTCCATTCAGAAGCAAAATTTCACAACTCATATATAATTCCACATTTAACTTCCTGGATTTCTTTTTTTGATAGAAGAAACGTTGTTTCAGATTCCAAATCCTTTGCTTATGTTTTCCTACTTAAGTACTGTGTTTTAAAGGCAGGAATTAGTATACCTTATAACTCATACATTCGCTGTATTGTAATTATTTTAAAAACTACAAATTCAGCAGTAATTATTTTTTCCAATTTATTTTTACTTATTACTAGTTTTCTGATAATTTTATTCCAAATTAAATATTCCAAATTCTGAAGTTAACCTTTCTGAAGGTTTGAGTTTATCTCATGCCCATTTTTGAGACTATTTACTAACATACCATCTAAAAATAAAAGCCTTCACCCTCATGGGATATAATCCTCTACCTTTCAAGCTAATAACAGTTCATAGCTGTAGAATAAGAGCACTGAGTGCACAATAATAGCAGCCTATCTACAGACAAATCCAGAATAAAAAAATCTGTACAATGATAATCAACTGTAAAAAACCTGTAAGATTCTTTAAAATAGGAAATCCCAAAAATATCTTCAAAATATTACAACGTCCATAGATTGAGATCTGTAAATAATAGTGCCATTTAATTGACCTAGAAAATAGACACAGCCTACCCTGCTCATTGAAGTCTCAGCATGTACATGTTCATTGCCAATACACCCCACTTCCCTGGCTCTGAACAAAAACTCCACAAGCAGCCTCTGAGTTGCCACCACAGCATTAACCCCATTGTAAGTGAGGGAAACAGACTGGCACGTTACACTCCTTGCCAGTTACAGAGAGTAGAAAATTTAGGCTTAATGTGACCTTCTTTTGAACTGAATAAATTCATTCTCAACACCAGATAGTTTGTTTTCCACATTTCCTAGATAGGTACAGTACAGCACAACCATGTAGCACAGAGAAGTACTTACTTTTAGATTAAAACAATTAGTGAAATATTTCACTTCTTTTCACATTCTTATGGAACATCTTTTCTGTAAAACCATACTATTTCAGCTAATCACCTGCACACCAGTATGTGATATTAATCCTTGGTAAATACAATGAATTCCACCAGGAGCTTGTTGCTAATAGGAATGTTATTAATGTCCCCTAAAATATAGATTTTTGGATTGTTAGGAAGGTCAGCATCCAAGATCATATCGACTTTCATTATTTCCTCCCAGACAGACTAATATGAGGCAGGCTAATGAATTAGAAGCCAAGTGATACAGCCAAGCTTGCTGAGTAATTCTCATACTTTCTTCACACAGCCCCCAGTCCTGGAACAGGTACGTGTGTGCAACCACAGGGCAGTCAGGCACAAGATTTGTGTACAGCTTGTTTTGTGCACAAGCTCATTTTTTTCCTCTGTGCCCTTAACCACCCTGTTACCCTGGTCAATGGAAAACTGAAACATCCATCAGTCCTAGCTGTGCACTGAACTTCCTGAAGGCAAAAGTGACAGAGGATTATGTCTTCATTTCATTTATCATTAAGTGTTCTTCACTTCAGCTCAGAAGATATGGAAAAGTTCCTTCAGTGAAGATGACAATCCATCTTCAACATAAGTCTGAATCCCCTGGAGCCACAATTTAGTTTAGAGCAATTGGTCCTGTGCTCTGACAGATGTCAAGGAGAGTTGTGCAATTATTTGCATTAATGCATTTGTTTTTTTAATTTCAGCATGTGGCAAATTGATGAAAATTACAGGCCCCATTACAGTGAAGATATCCGGAACCCGATTTGGAGCCTGGATGACGGATCCATTGGCATCGGAGAAAAATAACCGAGTATGTAAAGGCACTGACTATCTTTGTGCCCCCTTTTTTTTTTTACTTGCTTTATTTTAATCCTTAAAAAGATATTTTCCCCCTAGGAAATTACACTCCCAAGCGTGTTTCTTCTACTTCAGTCATTTTTACACTTAAACATCTTCAGAGAAAAAGCAACAGTGTTTGTGCAAAAATATCCAAAGACAAAAGTTCACTAAGCACCTTTATGCCTTCAGCTTTTTCAGGGATGACAAACATCTCTCTGAACTGACTACACTTCTTTTTTATTTCCTAACATGTTTAATGGAGCTTGGGTCTTTAAGAACTCAAGTACTATAAAACAAACATCCACACTTTTACTCAAGAGCATGACTTGTAATTCAGCACAGTTAAAATCTACAGGATTAGGCCCCATATAAGCTGTATTCAGGCCATTTTCTGCATCATATCCAAGTTATGTTATTGTTTGGATCTAAAATAGGACACAGCTTTAAGGCGGTGCTCTGTCTAAAGGGGTTTGGAAGTCAAAACACGGTTTCATTTGTATGAGACCCACAACATTAGCTTTTTGACTACAGAAAAAAAAAAAACAAACCAAGGCTACATACAAATAGCAATAACTAAATATTTCTGTGCAGCTCTCCCCTGCCTGCTGTGTCTGTGCAGGTTTACTACTGACCCCAGAAATCTCAATTAACTTTAGGAGAGCAGCAAACTCTACTCAACCCCATCTTATCCTGAAAAAGTTTCTTCTGATACCTCAGAGCGCCAGTGGCTGCTCCAGAACCATCCCCATGAGCCCTTGTCTCCATCAGCACCTGGTCCCTGTGCAGTCCCCTCCCAGCACACCCTGCCACCCCCTCCCCTGACAGCCACCACATTCCCCCCACTGCCACCCTCTTCAAGCAACACACAAACTACTTGTGCATGCAAACCATGCAAAACCCTCCTTGCACCAAGTAATGGGCAGCCAGAAGCTGAACTGGTGTTTACAAATATTTTGTTCATGTCAGTTTTGAAATTGGCATAAAAAACCCTCCAGAAATCATTCTTCTTTTTTTTTTTCCGGGATTTTATTTGTCCTCTGACAAACTAAAAGGAGAAAAGGCAAAATGCATGAAGGAAAAAAAGGGGGAATGGAAGTTGCATGCAACACATTAAAAAGAATTATTGATTCTGTTTTAAGGGGGAAAAAATGGTTCCTAAACTTTACTTGTTTCATTGCTAATGTTTTTGTTCTCTTTACTAAGAATAGACTATTTTTCATTGGTTAGAGGTTCAGCTGAAAAAAATTCAACCACATTTATTCCTAAGTATAAATTCAAGTTTAGCTCGCATACCATTTTCCATCTCTCTCTTAGATTATTATTCTCTGGGAATATCTTTAAGCAAGCCCCATATAGCAGAGACCCAAACACTGAATAATCCAAAATTAAATTTCTGTGAAAATGCAGACACTGTAGTTAGTAACAGTTATATTTAAAGTTCACCTGTATAGGTAAGTTTTGATTCAGAAATTCAAGAGTTCCTCATGCTTTTGTAACAGCAGTGCAATATTGTACTTTGATAGCCTGCTGCATATCTAAAACCCATTTTCCCTCTTCTCCTGCAATTTATCCATCATGCCATATCACACTCATGTATCACAGATTGTGTTCCAGATGTTTACTCCCAGTCTTTGTTTTCTTTCCAGGTCTGGTACATGGATAGTTACACTAACAATAAAATTGTCCGTGAATATAAATCAATTGCAGACTTTGTCAGTGGGGCTGAATCAAGGACATACAACCTTCCATTCAAATGGGCAGGCACCAACCACGTTGTCTACAATGGCTCCCTCTATTTCAACAAGTACCAGAGCAACATCATCATCAAATACAGCTTTGACACGGGGCGGGTGCTCGCGCAGCGCAGCCTGGAGTACGCTGGCTTTCACAATGTCTACCCTTACACCTGGGGGGGCTTCTCTGATATTGATCTGATGGCAGATGAAATTGGGCTGTGGGCTGTGTATGCCACCAACCAGAATGCAGGCAACATTGTCATCAGCCAGCTAAACCAGGATACTCTGGAGGTGCTGAAGAGTTGGAGCACAGGCTACCCAAAGAGAAGCGCTGGAGAATCCTTCATGATCTGTGGCACCTTGTATGTTACTAACTCTCACTTAACAGGAGCCAAGGTCTACTATTCTTATTCCACAAAAACTTCCACTTACGAGTATACAGACATTCCTTTCCATAATCAGTATTTCCATATATCCATGCTTGACTACAATGCAAGAGATAGAGCTCTCTATGCCTGGAATAACGGACATCAAGTCCTGTTTAACGTCACCCTCTTCCACGTCATTAAAACTGAAGATGACACATAATTTTCTTTCCCTTACCTCCCTCCGTCAAAGCAGTCTCATTTGTGATTAACTTTAAAAGCATCCATCTCTTTCAGTTCCTTTTAATTTACATTTCGTTCTTCATTAAGGAAAAGCAACATTTTCTACTATGTAATGCATTTCAAATATGGCTGAGCCTGTCTAAAACGACCTGTCGGAAATAAAAGCATCTTAACTCATGATTCTACAAGGTCTGTCAAGACCTTGTCTTGAAAAGCACTAAAGAGGATTTAAGTGGCTAAAGACAGTTTTTAAAAGATTATGATCTGCCTTATTTTAGAGTCAGAGACTAATGTTGGCTTAAATGCATGAATGTCTTTTTTTACCTCATTTTTGGTTTTAATCTATTGCTTAACTTCAGGAAGCATTTTGGTAGTGTCAGACACATATTGCACATTGTATTTTTTTATTTATTCAGAAAGATTTAGGAACTTAAATTTACTTAGACATGGAGTATGATTCATTTTGCCATCACCCAATTTCAGATGTGGTGCTGTACAGTATGTTTTTAAATCTCTTGCAAACATTTTATCGACAGTATGTATTTCTACCATTGTAACCACCATTGTGCAATTGTATCTCTTCACTTATGTGAAAGTAAACTAAGTACTATTTTTTATAAAATATATTGAAATAATTGCAGTTCTGGTTATGGGTCAATTGAAAGTGGTAAAAATCTGCTAAAAGGTTGTTATTTCTGAGAAAGACCAGTAGCTTCTCAGATGCATGATTCCCGTTCTCAGCTTTGCTTGGTAGATCTCTTCTTCACCACTGAAGCCTCATACCCGTCTCAGCTTTACAACTGTTTGCCCTGCCCAATTTTTATCTCATACTGCTGGCTTCTCTCTCCCTCAGTCTCTTTCTCCTGCTTTCTTCCCTTCCACCATTTTATTGCCCTTGTTTATGCTCACTCCCTGATCTGGGCTTCACAAGAGAGGAGCAGAAAGTGGGCTGATGCCCATGTCTGCAGCAAGCGTGTGAGTGCTGTTCTGGGGCACTGAGGAGCAGTGTTAGAAGTCAAGTTGCTTTCCCTAATTTGCCTGTCTTCTTACTCATAATAGAAGAACATTTATCTTTTGACAAAACTCTTCTCTGGGATGACCATAATCAAGGAGAAAATACAAAGGAAAAGTACAAAGCCTGGATGATCACTGTGGCACCTGATAGCCCTTGCTAGGAAATGGCAACAACACTGAGGCCAACCTCTTGCAAAGAGGTTTGGGTTTTGTTAGCAGTACAATTGTTACTTAGGTTCAAAACTGATGCCTTTAAAAAACAAATATTTAGGAAAGCTGTGTGGTTTGCTATACTATCTCATTAGAAACTAGGGGATGGGGAGAGTGTGCACATTTTATTGAGAACAAAGGAATGAGGTGCTATTCATCTCTTTTGGCATAAATGGAAAGAAAGTAACATTATTAAGCACTAGTAATAAGATTTTTTATTAGCTGGGCTCTCACAAAATGCAAAAAGACAACTCAGTGAAAGCTGAAGCTTGTGAAGCTCACAAAATCTGAGATTCTCCTCTTTATATCCTTTGAAATTGAAAAGCCAGATCTATTTTGAAGACATTTTATTTGCTAGTTCTACCAACATGTCAGCTGAGACCACCTTAAGCCTCATTAATGTTTTCATTATTATAAATATATATGTCTATTTATGTTTACAAATCTGCTTTTATAATATAAGCCCCCATATGAAGCTGAACAAATTGCCTTATTTTTCATACTGGCTGCAAAAAAAAAAAGAAAGCTAATTAGGTTTCAAGAACTGATAAAGGGGAAAAAAACCAACAAATTACATTACAACATGACCAGAGAAAAGTTACTTTCCTGCTCCCATCTCCCCCCTCCTGCCTAGCTGAAATGATAGCTGTTATCCCTTACAATCAGTAACACAGAATTTCAAGACTCAATTCAGCTAAACAGACAAATCACTTCCCTCCTGTAACCAACTTTCCTGTATTGACAATGAAATCTTCTGTGTGATGTGTGAAAGTGTATATGACTACTCATTAAAAAAGATATTTTATGTCATACAGGGATGTTTTATGAAAATGAAGTATGTTCAGATTTTTATCAAAAGCCATAAAGCAAACACTAACCTTTTCTCTCTACAGAGTGACTTAACAAAATAAAACTTTTTCACCAAGACAGCATTCTTAAAAACATTAGTAATTAGATTGAGAAATTAAACTTCTTTCTACTGTATCATCATAAACTAGACTAATAGTCATGATGCAAGGATAACTTCATCTGAACAAAATGATTACTACCGTATTTCTTTATAAGAGTGTCATTCTGTGTAATTAGCATGCACACACTAGTACAGGTTGATAACAGTTCTTACAGGAAGATTAATCTCACCTGATTTCAGTGCCATTTAGTGAGCCTTTTAAGGGTAAAACACTCCTATTAGTCAAAGGAAAGGAAGAAACAGACACTACTACAGGGTGCTAGAGATGGATGGATGAGGGAAAGGCTCCTTCAAAAGGTGGTTTGTCATATCTGGATAAATCCTGCCCTTCTAAATAGTAACAATGGGTTGGATTCCGGTAACTTTAAACATGATATAAGAGCTTGCACACCATCCCTACAACAAAATGCAGCCAGGCATTATCATGTAACACAACTTCCTGTTAAGGAGCATTCATTTTTCTGTGAATCAGTGTTGATCACCTGTCTTTTCCAAATTGGAAATTCCATAGTCATATTCCCAAAAGGCTGAAAGCACCATGCCTCACTATAAGCAAATTTGTGTTACAATCTTTGCCTTCAAAATTGAGCAGCACAAGCAGAAAGTCTTCATAATGTAGCAGCATAATGTACAAGTTTTATTCTTATAGTTGAAGCATAGGCTGTTTGTTATGAGGAGGTATCAATACTCTAGGGGGAAAAAAGCTATCCTTAAACATGAGGAAATTAATTTTAGAGTCTGTTTGAATATCTTAGTGACCTCCTGCTTTAAGGGATAAACATGTAAAAGGACTGTGTCACTCTTGCACCCAAACCAGAATTCTTAAATTTCCCAAAGCTGTGCTGGTGGCAGAGGGAGATGCACACAGCCCCAAATCTAGCACAGAAGCACAGGTCTGCCAAGCCACCAGGCACGCCTGTCCTGAGGGAGCCTAGGGAACGTGAAGGATGCACACCACAAAGCCCATAGCATTCTCCCTGCAACGGACTTACTGTTCCCCAGGACAAAACAGGCAGAACAAACCTGCCCAGAGAAAGCTTCCTGAACAGTGATAATCTTTTATAGTCCCGTCTGGCAATTCTTGCCCGTGAGTAACTACCAAGTCTATTATTACACACACAGGCTGTTCAGCCTGCCCTATCTGTCACAGTGTGCCAAGCAGACCACTGGCAGGGTGACTCTGTGGAGCCTCCTCAGCACTGTAGTCACTGCTAGCAAAAGATGACATTCAGTTTGAAAAATTAAAAGAACATAGTTGAGTGAGACAGGTTGATGCAAGGTTTTAATCACAGATTGTTTATATAAGAATATTCCTTTTCAGACAAGCTCAGGGGCACTAGCTGTCACTCAGCTCAGCAGGCTGGATCTGCAGCAAAGGCTGTTTGTTTCAAACCACAGCCTGAATAAACCCGTTACCTGGTAATTTGTCATAATAAACAATTGCTTAGAAAATGCTAGAGTAGAAGTGAACAAACCATTCACAGCAAATTACTCATACAGTAAATTGTATCCTTTCCCAGTTCAAGAATTGCCAGGAAACAGTCTTGATACATACTGATGTTTATGCTAGTCAAAATATTTTTTGGAAATCATTTGGATGAGCACCTCTTCCTACAAACCATCCAAGCATTCCCTGCTGTAAATCTTACATCCTTGACATTTGCTGAGCATTTGGGCATCTTTTCCACAGAAGACAAATGAGGGCTGCAGCTGCAGAGCTTTAGGACAGAGCTGCATCACAGCCCCACTGTGCTGACAAGCTCCCCACTGCACTAATTCCAAGGAGACCTACTCCTGCTCCACGACATCCTGTAGCAACTGCATCCCACCAGAAGCTCACACTCAAACAAACTCAAGCACACAAACTAACTTCCACAGATCATAAAGCCAAGTCCTGAAACTCACTTCCCCACCAAGAATAGAGGCCATATTATTGCCAAAACTAAAAGCAAAAGCCCATCTTCTAAGTTGAGGTTTCCTCAATAATTCTTACACACGTGACCATATACATGGACATCAATATGCAAGCAAATAAACTAATCCTAGACTTATAGAATAATAAGGTTATTTTTCCTACAGAAAAGAGACCATTTAGGTTTTGGAAAGATCATTATTACTGGGCTTTCTACTTAATTCACTTAATGAGAAACTGAGGAAAGACAGTTACTCAACACCAAGTTGTGAAGCTATACAAAAATGACTATTTTGTATAGTATGACTTTTGCTGGGCTCTAGAAAACAGATGTACTACACTGATGCAATAGCTGTGACCATAGATTCATAAAACACACGTGCAGGAGTTTTCCCCAAACTGTAAATAGAACATATACTTGATTATTTTGGTATTATGATTGATTAGCGATCTTATAATCTGTGAACTCCTTTAGACTTTCAGTTGCGGTCATTCAGTGCATTTAGTAAGCATTTTAAGATAACTTCTATGCTCCCACATCTCTCTCTTTTTCTTCAGAAGTCCCTCACACGTGTAGCACATATTGTGTCGGACAGGCTGCAAAGGTGATGAACACAAGGGACACATCCTTTCTGCAGCTCTTATTCAAGTCAGCAGGAATTATTCATAAATGTAGAGATTGGCCCCAGGTATGAAAACTCCACTTTCTCCAAAACTACCACTGGAGGAAATCCTCACTCTTAAAATACAAATCATGTTTATTGATTTTATATCAAGAGGAGTTGCACCAGCTTTTCATGAAAGTATTCAGTCTCTTAAAGACCAAGTATATTTGTCTCTGTCTTTGAAATCCAGACAGGGGAAAAAATTCACATTTTCTTTAGAATCAGAAATTTCTGTTAGACTCACATGCCCCTTGTCAGCTGAGCATCAGCAGAACCGTAGAATTTTCCTGTATCTACTGCTTCAGAACATTCAGTTAAAATAATTACATCACAGAAACATTTCAGCAGTCCAAGTGAAACAAATCTTCCTCAGGATTCTGTTGCAAAAACGGCAGTTTAAACACAGCTCACTATAAATGCATATAATATTTAGATCAGCTGCATTCTGACCCAACTTTGAGTCCACTGTACCATTTTGCCTAAAAATTGTGCAGGTGATATACCATAGCAGCACAGAAAAGTATACGAAGACAAATGAAAATGACAGCTAACAGGTCAGATTTGGCATCTCAAAACACAATCTATTTTACTGTGCTCTTTATATGGAAGCTTGAGGTCTTATTTACACAGTTCTTGTGGTGAACCTGAACAGGAAGAATCCACTGGGTCAGAAATACTCATTTTCCTTCACACAGTATCAGCCCCTTGCACAAACTACTCCAGCTTATTTTGGTTTGCATTTTCTTTTGTTTTCTTGGTTCTAACCTTATTGATCTTCACCTAAACCTGCCCCAACCCTTTTCATCTTGCAATGTGTTTAATAAGGACTGTTCAGACAGAACTCAAACTGCACAGAAAATTTATAGCACAGTAAGCTTCATCTGGAGAAGGCATAAATTTATTTTTCCAGTTATGTAAAATTTAGCTCTAGCATGCCCATAAAACTGCCTACAAGCAATACTGATTGTATATCATGGGTTGCTCTACAGAAATAATTTAAAACAAGTTCAAGATAAACTTTCGTCCCTGTTATTTATTTATTTTAAAGGAAATATTTTGTTTCATATCTGCCATGGTGAGACATTAAATTAAATTAAATTCATCTTTGTCCACAGCCGGTTTAGACATCCATTTTTTCCTTTCTGCATCACACCCTCAAGGTGGTCAGCAACACTTCCATCACCAGGAAATCAGGCCTCACAGTAATTGAGTGTGCATGCTGTCAAAGGTGCTTATGCCTTTTCAGTTAAGCTCCAAGTCTGTGTCACACCATGCAGACAGGCCATTTATTTAGGCTTCCCTCATCGGGGAAAATTGGGCTTGCTGTCACCTTGAAGGACATCACAGATTAATGGCTACTCAGGACCATCTCTGTCAGTGCAGCACTTGGAGGCACAAGTGCCTTTTGGAGGCAAAGTACGCAGGAGAACCGCTTTAACTCATTACTGCAGCTCTAACAGTAGCTCATTCCAGAGGAAGAGCTCACACCACCTGACATTTCTGTAGCAGCCACCTCCTCAGGACTGCAAGGTAATTTACAGACACTAATTTAGGCCATTTCCCAGTCTGTCAGGAAAGAAAGGACATTTTTACAAATCTCTTTGTTCAGGCTGAGCATCATGGACAGAGAACTGTTCAGCTGAAGCCTAACAGTTTCTTTGGCTCACCAGCTGTTGACATTTGATTTTCAATTCTCAAGTCAGTGTATCACTCATTAACTCTCCTGCAGAAACAAGTATCTGTTCCAAAAGTTCAGTACCCACACTCTTACACTGATTTTTAATGGCTTTTCTTATTTTCTTTTCAGTCTAGGAAGGAGGCCTGCGTCCATTGGCAAGGTGTTACCTCAAGAGTTTCAGGCTAGGGGGCACATACTGCAGAGGTGGCTGATTAATCCACAATTATGGAATGCCTGTTATGGATAACTACCTCTAATGGTTTCTGTGGAAAAAAATGTCACTTTATAAGGACTTTCTTT